CTCCCATTCACGTGACTGCTCCAGACCTTCTGGTTTTCTCACGGAAATCCTCTTGGAGTTACCCACCTCCCAGTGTGGGGCATGAGGAGCCCTCAGGCCTTCAGGTCAAGACACCCAGCACCCTGGCACTGCCTTGGAGGGTCTGAACCCCAATGCCATCCCCACACCTCTTTTCAGCCTCCCCTCCTCTTTGAAACCTCATCGCACGGCCCAGCTCCCTCCACCAAGGTCTCCTCACCCAGGACAGGCCTTCCAGCTCCTCTCTGCCTTCCTCCATCCCCCTTTCTCTCCTCCCTGCACCCTACTCCCTCCTCTTGTCTTGCCCCTTCATGGAGCTCATCTTCTTCTGAGCAGGTCCCGCTATACCACCAGTAATTCCTGAAACAAGTCAAAATGTGGCCACACACTGCTGTTTTGTATGCACTGCTTTTTTTATATCTCGTGTGTGCCTCATCCAGTCAGACTAGGAGCTCCTTGGGCCCAAAGGTGTGTTTGTACAGGGCCCAGCGCAACACTCCTCGCTCGCCAACAGCCCCCTCCTGCATTAGCCAGCGTAACAAAAACAGCATGTGTTGAGTAAAAGTCAATGTCTCTCTTTAAAGCATTTCAAAAATCCGGAGGAGTCTGATAGAAGGAAAAAAAAAAGGAAAAGAAAACGGAGAGAAGAGGCAGGAGAGAAAGGAAACAAAATGGAGAAGACAGTTTTCACTGGAAGCAGCATTCCCTCTAAGGTTCAACACCCTCTCCTTTCCCTGACATCCTTCCCTGACGAGGTCAGGCTAGAAGAAGCAGCGTTTCTCTCCTTTATTCCTACAGAACAACCCTTTTCTCCCCCTCACCCCCCACCCTAGACTATTTTTAACATTTACTTCCTGCTTAATCTGGCGCTTACATACAAAAAGAAGTACGACCTTTATGGCACTCCCCTACCAACTGCAGTAGCACAAGCCTGTGCTCTTACTACGCCTGTGCCGAGCGCCAAGTGGTATTTAAATCGTTTTCACTTTTCTTCATCTTCCCACCTGCCAGCAGCAGTCACAGCCTCAAAAAAAAAAAAATTATACTTCCTTCTTCATTTCAGGACTGAAATAGTTCATAGTGCCCAACGTAACAAACGGTAACACCCTCACTGCTAAACACACCATGACAATGAGGGGGGCCCACGTTGAGCCTTAAAAATACTAAGCACCAAATGCACACAGGCTGAGTTATTTCTTTGGCATACCTGAAACTACCTTGTAGTTGAGAAGCTGAAAGGTCTAAAAACTAGAGTATTTTCCCTTCCACTTTTATCAACATATGTGTAATTCCCCTCTACTCTCTGTCATAACTCTGGTTTGGGAGGTTTTTTTTAAGTTAAAAATTAAAAATCACCAAAAAAAGCCTCAGGTTGGGGAACAACTCATAGGTGGTTCAAACAGCTTTGGATGCAGCTTCGTGGAAATCCAGGTACAGTTTGCTAGTGGCTTGAATGCCAAATAAAAACAAAGATTTATGTGGGGCAGGAAGACCTCCAAAATATTTAAAGGCTGCTCTTAACAGAGCTAATGTGCTCTAAGCCACCTTTTCCCACATGGCTGTCACACAAAGGAGATAAAATGCAGGATGTGTGTATCTTTGTGTGACAGTTAGCATGCGGTACACCACCTATGTGACTCTAGAAAACTAATTTTTACCCTCCTTCCAACAAGATGGAAAGCATTTTGTAACCAGCTACCTTACCCGCTGGGCAGCTGATAAGCTGGGTTTGCAAACGCTACCCCCATGCCTGAGAAAACATTATGTAGAGTACTACGTGCACAGCAGAGGCAAATTACCGATGAGTTAAGTGCAAGGAAGTGCCTACCCCGGGGGGTTCTCAATCCCATTTCGCATGCAAGGTGCAATTCTTGCTCTTCTCCCAATAAGCCCTCTCCGTACTTCCCCAGCCACCCTCAGCCCCAACACATCTGCTCGCCCTAAGTGACGATGGAGGGGCATTGCCAGCTTCCCTGCTGCAAGACACTGCGTGTCAACAGGACTCCGCAGATTATTAAGAATTAAACGCGCAAAGAAGCGCTTTCAGCTGAGCCAAGGCCACAACATTCAATACTTGGCAGTCTCAAGGCCCTTTTCTGACCCAAGATAACAGAGTAATGCGTCAAGGGGGGGGGAAGTAAAGATATGGAAAAAAGACAAAAATACAGGTCTTATATAACCTTATGAGTAGCACAAGATTTTTCTGATCACAGCCTGCGTAAAAATAATACTGTAGAAGGCATATCAGGAACAGGAACCGAGAGGGCTGCTTGCTCTCCTCCACTGGGGAGAGATGCTGTCCATGGGGCTGGAGCACCGCTCTCAATGGAAAAGCTTCACTAGCAGGAATAAGTACAAAAAGCTGCAGCAGAGGATAGCCAACTGCAGCACTTCTAGGACAAAATGTGCTTCAAGGCCACACCAGAACACCCGATTTTAGCAGAAGCGTACCTGAGGGTGGAATTTGGCCTATATTCTGTACACCTTAAGTTTCTGTTCGCAGAGCAGGGAAAGAAAGCCTCTCAAGTTGAAGCAGCAATCTGTAGAAGAGTAAAACTAATCCTACAGCCTGCTGGACAGCAGGACCCCAGTCCTTTCAGAAACAATATAAGGGCAGTGTCAGTAAATCTGCATACTATAAAGAGAAAATTGAGAAACTTAAGTCTTGAACATAGACCTATGAAAACTCCTTAAAAAAAAAAAAAAAACAAACAACACACCACCAAACACCAACTTTCTTTTGAATCCAAAAAAAATCTGTGTTACTTATGAAAAATTTTCACTCCATTGAAGTGATTTTATTTAAATGAACTCTATTAAGAAGCAAGGGTAACATTTCTCTTGGTCATAAGTTTAAAATGTTTCTTATTAGGCAATTTACTAATTGATAAGCTCTTCAGCTGTGACGTTAGCAAATATAAAATGCAGCAGCCACCCTCCCAGTCAATCAATACAAACACATCCCTCTGCCAAGACGCACCTTTACTTAGGCCCATCAGGTCGCTGCTTCTTTACAATTTAAGAAGATAAAGACCAATTTGGCACCCAAAGAAACAAGTTTCCAGGTGCTGGCTAGTGACATTGGTTAAACCTTAATTCCTGTGAGAGAAACCACTGTGTGGCTTTAACTCTCACCTTTCACTCCTGCAACAAGGGCTGAGCTTGATTGAGGCAAGAAGCGGGACAGGCAAAGAGACAAGATGGCTCCTCTTGTCAAAAATAAAGTGCTTAATACAGAGAGTGCATAAGAACAGCTTCCCTATTTGAACATCATGTGCAAAAGTGTTTTGGTGTTTTCAGCCCGTCTCCGGAGAGATGGTTTTCCATCACAGCAGTTTCCATAAGGGCACTGTACATTACACCAGTAAAACGTGGCAGCCCCATTTAACTCCAGACAAAGCTGCAGTTTTATCGCTGCATCTTATGTCAACTGTACCAAGGTATTTCAGATGGCAGCAGATGGATTTTCACACAAAATAAGCATGTATGCTCGCTCCCACAAGGAACTTCGTTTAAGTGTGCAAAATCCAACAGCAGATGGGAAAGCCAAATTTTGAGTCTTTTAAATGGACAAATAATCATAGTGAAAATATTTAAGTCAGCTTGTCGCTAGGACTATTTGGAGTTGTGGTTTATAGAAAGGGCAAGAAAGCATAAAAAAAAAAGAAGTGGAGTTCTTGGTTTAATTTACATTTCTGTTCTAGTGTGCACTCAATTTGTCCATCAGGGACTTAATCCAAGATGTAAGAAAATCAAGTTTAGGACCATTCTTGTAAATTTAGGGACAAACAGATGGGTTTAATTTTTTACAATTTCAATCCTTTGGAGCTCTCTTCTCTCTATGCCTTACATTTTGAAAGTTATACTGCCAAGCAGTGTCGTCCCCAACTTTAGTTGTCCTAAAACCATGGGACTTTCAGGAAAGAAACTTCATGACCAAAAAAAAGAAAAAATATATCCAACATTGCTTCAAAACTTTATGAAAAACATGTAACTATTCATACATAATTCTGGAAAATGTTGCTTTGCTGCTGTGGGCTCTGTAGCCAGGAGAAAGCGCAACATTATACAAAATCCTGAAAAAAAAACAGCTAATTGAATAAACCCACTCTTCCACAATGGTGCAGATTACTTCATCCGCGATGGTCTTGAAAATGAGTTTAACTCTACAGATAACTACGTTCTTTACAACAAAAGGAATTAAAAGAGAGGAAAAGACTCTTGTTCACCAAACAGAAAACAAACAAAAAAATAGCGCAAGGCTAGTAAGGAAAGAATGGTTAATCTCACATTTCTAAGAGGGTATTATAAACAAAGAATGGTGAACAACAAAAGTAAAATATAGAAAAAGAAAAAGATACAAAAGTGCTCAGTGGTGTTCTTTTAAATATTTACGTTGCTGCTATTTGGAGAATAATTTGTTCCATTTAGTAGTGTTGGGCTCAAAGGACTGCTTTAATCCAGAGAGATTAATTATAGCCTTTGGAGTTATAAACACAATTTGGGAAGCAAAGCAGAGAAGAGGAGAGAGACGCCTCTCACGCTGGCGATTAAGAAGTTTAGGCGCTTCAGGGCTACACCACACGGTGCCTCACTGCACCTGCACGCTACAGGCAGAATGGTGCACGGGACGCCCATAAATCGGCAAAAAACAGCCCCTCCGAGATGTCCAGGGAAGACACTACCCTACAGCGTTGCTATAGGCAACTAAGATATTTCTCAGATGTCCTTCACCGAAATAGAAGTTCACCTGCATCTTATGAAGATGTTCTCTGATCTCGTTTTTATTACCTGCACCAGAAATGACGAGTCTCCATGCCAAGACAACCCGCAGCACTCAGCATGCACAGGACCCCATCCACACTGCCCTTAAACCTCTTGCATGCTTTCACGCATCTCTCCCTCTGATCATCCCCGTAGCCCGCACCGGGAGGCACAGGGACCAGCGACAGCGAGTGGGACAAGGCTGGGAGCGATCTTACCTAGCGAGGGGTCGGTTGCTCCCTCCTCTGAGCTCTCCTCAGCCCCCTCCTCCCCCAGGCCGGAGGTAGCTGAGTCCTCTGGGGCGGATGCCGAGCCGGGGGTGCTGGGCCCACTGACGGATCCTGAGTCCCCTTCCTCGCTGCTGGAGCCGTAGCGTTCGGGCTGGGCGGCCGTCCCCCCCTCGCTGCAGCCCCTCCGCTCCTTGCGGTGCACCCGGGAGTGCAGCACCATTTGGTGGTAGGTGCGGAAGATCTTCCCGCACTCGAAGCACTCGGTGGACTTGTTCTGGGCGGCCCGCCGGCTCTGCCTTGAGGCAGGACGGTAGTCCAGGTCGCCCTGGGCCAGCGGGCAGCTCTCCCCCAGCGGGGCGCCGCCAGTTTTCTCTGGGCGCCCACTGGTGCAGCTCTTCTTCTTGGGGTTGCTGGAAGAGCTGGGCGAGTCCTGGTCTCGCTTGCGCTTCTCCTGGTTGACCAGGATATACTCTCTCTTATCCTTGTCGTAAGTCACGTCCGCATCCGCCAGGGCCTCGTCCCATCCCACATACTTCACATACTCAGAGGGCTCGACTACTTTTCCTTTGGTGGCCAGCTGCCAAGCTTGGTAGCTACTGACCGGATCCAGCTCAGCTACTCTTTTCCCAGGCTGTCCTCTTGTAACTCTATCCAGCCCTACAGATGGCCTTAGATTGAGACACTGCAAGAAAAACTGCTTCGTTACCGAGGAGCTTAGGCTCCCGTCCATTAAGCCCTCAGCTTTATCCCCGGCACTGCCCCGCTGCGCTCGGTAGTGAACAGCATTATGCGCTTTCAGGCTTTCCATATTTGTAAACAGATTTCCACACTTGGTGCAAACTTCGTACAGAGACAGGCCCGTCACAATCGTCTCCTCCTGTATCACGTCATTGATAGTGGCTATGAGCTCCAAGTCATTTTTTGGTTTGTTTTTGCTCCCGGTCTTGGGGCCATGTGACTTCATGTGGTTTTTGAGAAACCAGGGCTCTTTGAATCTCCTGCCACAAATGTGGCACCCGTGATCAAATGACCCCCTGTGCTTTTTCATGTGAGCTTTCAGGAACCAGGTCTGACTAAAGGCTTGACCGCAGACTTCGCACGGGAACTCACCCGTGCTCAACTCGCTCTTGCAGTTCTCAGCATAGGCCTCCCCGTTTGGGACCTGAGCTGTTATATGGTCCTTCTCTACATGGTTTAACAGTGTCTCCTCCCTCAGGGTCATGTAACTACACAACCTGCACTTGAATGGTTTGTGGACCTGGTGCAGGTGCTGCTCGAGGTCCTTCTTCCTTTCAAATTTGTTTTTGCAGAAGTTGCACTGGTAGGAGGTCAGCTTGCCATCCTCCTCGGCCGGCGCCGTCTCCGTGACCTCCTTCTTGCTGCTTCTCAACAAGATCTTGCTGCTATCTACCTGAGCGGTACCGTTCAAGATTTTGTTGCAGGCGGATGTGCTCTTAGTGGGGCTGGTGCACCCACCCAGGCCCTCTGAAACTCCCATCTCCCCCAGCTGCGCCTCTCCCATCTCCACCTCATGCCCCTGACTTAAAGTGCCTGTTCTGTGGCTACGGATGTGGATCTTCAGGTTGCCCTTTTGGGAAGCTCTGTGATCACAGTAAGGGCATTTGTAGGGCTTCTCACCTGTGTGCTTCCTCATGTGCTGTGACAAGGAGCTCTGAAAAGGGAAACTTTTACCACAGATGCAGCAGCTGTGGCACATGGTCTTGTCAGCGTCCATGTCATTCTTGCTTAGCTTGCCTGGGCTGGAGGATCTCCGTAACTCCATTTCTGCCTCTCTACTACGATCCATCTGTATTACTGCAACATTGGGTGAGCGGGGCAGAAGGACAAAAGCATGTCCGGCAGCAGAGGAGGGCTGGACTGCGTTTTCAATCATACGGTTCTGCAGAAGGATGTTTTATTGCTTCATTCTCGGGGTAACGTTTCTCTTCTCAGCCGCTCGAGAGAGTCCGAAGCGCCAATTTATTTCCCTGTGCTCTGTAAGCGGATGGCATAGATCACCTGAAACAAGAACAAAATCACACAAATGTACAGAAATTGTGTAAGTAGATTCTTAAATATATTTAAACCTACTCATATTTTTAATTCAACAGCTTCCATCACTCACCCCACATCCAGAGGCGTACTATACTACAATCTATTGCACCAAAAAGCAGCAGCTTCTCCTTTTGCTGATGCTCTAGACTTCAATGGCAAGCATTCAAAGTATCATTAATAAACAAGTAAAATCCAAAAAAGCAAACATTCATTTCCATACACAGACATCACAGTGTCTTTAAAGAAGTGCAAACTTTAAAAATATTTTTTATTTTAAAACCAGGCAGAAGTGGCTAAATATACACCTTAAATGAGGAAAACATTTCTTGAGGGAGTTATTACACTTCAAATCCGTGGCTTTACCATCATGTGTAATTTCATGTAAAATACTTACTTGCCAAAGATAAAAGGCTTTCCTAGAGACTTTAGCAAGTATCATATTCCTGCTCGCAACTGCATTACTTTGCGGCTCAGACAGCTCTGCTGTGCTTGATGTGGCATGCACAGAGCAGGCGCAGAGACTGAGGACGCTCAGTACTTTGATTAGAAAGAAAACAAGAATCCAGACCCTGACAAAGCATTCAGGAAAACCAGAAGTTATTTTCTGATGGACAATGAAGAAAAAAACCCCAACACCTCCAAGTGTAGTATTTTGTCTTAATCTAACCAAGTAAACTGATAATGTGTGTCGGTATCAAGTGATCTTAAAAGTGAGTGATTTATGTCAACAAGACATACAGGAAACCACAGCACCACCCACCTCAATGAAACAGAATCGTAACCATAAACAAACAAACAAAACAAGGAATAACTTTGATTAACAAAACAGATTAATGAACGTTTAAAAGCTTTTGTATCTTGTCATGAACAAATGCAATGGTCAGTATCTGCCTCAGTAATGCAAGATGCAACACACCAGCATTTCTCTGCCTTGTACACAGCAAAACCCAATGGTTAATATCTCCATAGATTGTTTCTTTTCCAATTATCACACTGTAAAACAAAAATCTTCTCCCCTTCCTATCCTCATTAAATACAATAAACACACATGACTAAGATCAAACACTGTATTCTCTAATAAACAGTACCAATGTACTATTACATTAAGAAAACATCAGCTTCTTAAAACGTAGCTGAAAATACGCAGAGCAGTAACAAGACTATATATTCACACATCCATCACTTGACATCTATGACTCAATAAATAAAGAGCTACAGATCTACAGTTGCAAATTTTAAGATTTCTCATTGTATTTACCTGTGAGCCCCTTCAATATATAAATAAATAAATAGCCTAACCACATCACTAGCACGAGCCTAACAAAAAGCAAGGTAAAACCGATGCAAGACTCATCTCAGTTACACACTACAGAATAACTTAATTATTTTTTAAGTTAATCTAGCCCTCTTATTTGCTACAAGACCATTCATTTCTGGTTTGATTTTCTGCATATCTAGTATCCGTTCAGCATGTTAAGAGTTATCAACCGCATCTGCACAGACTTCCTTTTCCTCAGAGAGCTGATGGTAAAATCTGAGGGACATATTACAAATGCAACTTAATTTCTTGAATGAAGCGTTTTTATACTATGACTAATTTATTATGACTGAAAAAAAATAATCACATCCATCACAAATTCAGAAGTCCATATGAACAGGAAGTTTACAAACGACAGTATCTAAATTAATCTCTGAAAGTAGCTATTTAAAACCAAATTGAGGGGCATCCTCAGAAGAAACTCTCTGAGTATATAAAGGATGGCAGTCACTGTTGTGGCTGTACCAGAAGGTACGAACATGCCAAACAGCAAATACCAATGCAGTTTACACTGCATATTGATGGATGAAACAATTCAGAGTGACATCTTATTTATTTGACCTGTAATCTAAATCTGCCAAGTAGCAACCCATATTGTCTTATAATCAAGGACTTAACCTAAAACTAATTAAAATCATAAAAAGAAACATTAGGGTAACTTCTTGCATTTAATATGACAGTATACTTGAACAAGCAACAGCTTCTTCTGAAACGTTCCGCATCGTTGTAGAAAAAAAAGCTTTGGGGACGGGTTTTTCATGGTATTTTATATACAGTATTTTCTCCATTCTGGATTTTCTACAGTTTACACCAATGAGAACACTGCTTATTGGTAGGCTGACTTTTAGACTAGCAGTGCTTTGGGGTTTTTTTTGGTTGGTTGTTTTTGTTTTTTAAATGTAGGTCCCATTTTAACTCAACTTTCTACAGTGTTTCCTGTCTGAAAGTTCAAAAGAGCTTTAAGAGCCAAACTTAGACAAGAATGCTGTATGCAGCAGTTCAGGCACAATAAAGTCAAAGCTTTAGAGTCCCTTTGTTTACTTGGCCACAGCTTCCCTGTGTTTAGTCTTGAAATATTTCACTTTAATTATTTATAGCATTTTCATTAATGAAACTTAGTTATGAAAATTAGGATATGAAGAAAGTATTAGCCACTCGCAGGAGACTGCCCTAGCCCCATATTAAATTAGGCCTGAGGGGGGACAAGTCAGAGTTAAAAAATTACCAATTAATTTATTGGTCTAAAATACTTAATGGAAGTGTTATCGTCTTCACTGAAATATTCTAAGATTTTTTTTTTCATCTTTATTACTTTAGCTTAGCCAGTGCACTGCAATTTATAACTTTAAAAGTTGAAATAAAGTATTCCTACATTTGAATTATTTTAATTCATGCTTATTTAAGACTCACAAAATTTCAAGTTTGATCTTCCACAGACAAAAATTCCAGGGGGAGGAAGGGCGTTCACCCAATCCGAGTTTGCTTTACACAGTGTGTGGAGGTCTCCCTTAGGCTTTGGTAAATTGACTGACACAAACATGTAACAACAACTTCCGACTCCCTCCTCACATCATTTGAGTGCCACTTAAAAGTAATTCTCTTAGAGGGGCTCTTCGCAGAACAGCAAAGCCAGTGTTCATTGGAAAGAAGCAGCAAAAACGGAATAAAAATGACAACTTGGAAAAAAACTTCAATTCGGAAGACTGAACGTACAAAGTGAAGAAAACAACACTTGTAAAGAATCCTAACAACAGAAAACAGTATTTTGGATTCATAATTTCCACCTTAATATTAATTATTAAATAATTACTTCAACATCAAAGATGGCACAAGGGATGGAAGACATCAACTGGTAAATCAAACCGCACTGATTACTCTCCCGCTGTGAGTAAAATTTTGTCATAGCTATTTTTGTTTCTTTCTGGCTGACTGCAATGACAAACACATTTGTATTTTGAAATAATTACAAATTTGAAAGTATTCTGAAATAATTCTCTTTCAGCACACAGTGAACATGGCCACCTCCAGCTACCCGAAGGCTATTAAAAAAATGTTTCAACTCTAACTAATTTCAGGTAACTGGTAACGTTTCTTTGGTCCAAAGTTCAGCCTGCAGTTCCTTAGCACCGGCTTGTCACACGGAATTCATTGCAGAGTCACATCCAGCCTGCAGATTTCTCCCAGACTGTCATGGCACAGAGATCCCCACTAGCACAGGGGCAAGCCATAAGGAAATGCAAGTAAATGAGAAGTATAAAAGAATATGCAGTCTTTAAAAATATTTTGTGTGTTTTAACAGCATTCCAGCCTATGTTAATGCCACACTTTTTTTTTTTTTTTTTTTTTTTTTTTGGTGAGGGGTGTATTCTGTTGTAAGGGGCATATGAACAGGCTTCGATTCATTTTGTGGAACTAGGGATCAGCAGTTCGCGTAACAAGCTGCTGGCCAGTGTCACAAGGCATTTTCATCCCCTTTAAAATCCACCAAGTCACTTATCATCACTGTTTACATGCAGGTTTGGTATATGACACAAGGTGGAAGAGAAACATAAACGAAGACCCAAGAACCGGAGGGGTGGCGCACTGGGAAGTGCCTTTGCTCAGCCAAGTGTTTTAGCTGTAAGACTTGTTCCTGCACCCACTGCCTCACAGAGAGTCTTTGCCTTGACCTGCACAGCAAAAAATACAAATAACCTTATTTTATTCACCCTCAGAAGGGAAAACAAGCTTTCCTCCATGTTTAAACCAAGCACTTGTCAGAAAAATAGAATCATAGAATAAGTCAAGTTGGAAGGGACCGATAAGGATCATTGAGTCCAACTCCCTGCTCCTTGCAGGACTACCTAAAACTAAACCATGTAACTAAGAGCATCGTCCAGATGCTCCTTAACCTCTGACAGGTTTGATGCTGTTACCACTTCCCTGGGGAGCCTGTTCCAGTGACTGACCACCCTCTCAGTGGAGAGCCAATTGACTATTTCAAACATCTAGGCATCAAAACTTCTCTGATTTTCAAAACAAACTCTGACAGAGTTCTTGTCTTGAGAGAAAATGTGTTTGGCCAAAGTGACCTGCTCTCACCACCAAGCCCCAGGTTCCCCACCGAGGCCATGGTAGCCCATCCCTGCCGGAGCCGTGCCAGGTAAGTCAGTGTGCAGTTGCATCATGCCCACAACTTCTGCAAGACCCTCACAAAGTCTTGAAGTGAACCATGGGTAAAAGTACAGGGGAACAGTATTTTAGATAAAACAGATGCACTCTAAAATACCTGTTACTCTTCTCTTCATGCTACCTGCATGTTCTGGAAGAGGACCAGGTACGCTGTGAGGACTCCCCACAGGGCCAGAGAGACCATCTTAAGACTTTTCTGTGCCTCTTGGAAAACAATTAATCAAAAAAGAAATTGAAAATAAACCACACAAAATAAGTGAAAAATAGAATGCAAGGGATGCCACACTGAAAAAGTAATTGCAAATTAATTTCTTACATACAAATATCCTGTGCAGTGCAGGAAGACATTA